GAACGGAGTTTCTGATTGGTGCAGCTTAACCCCGCCTGTCAATTGTCTGTCAATCACAGCCAATTTCATTTCGTTTGTGCAGGAAAGAAACATGTACATGTTGGTACTCATCAATCAAATAATGATGGACAAACCTTCGAGCGCGGTTGTCGTGTGTCCACTTCAGACTTCATGTATTCATCAAATTCCTTTGATACGAGTTTTACAGATTCCTTTGGATAGTTCAGGCATAATTTCCACATGCTTTAGGATTCCATTTGAAACTTCTCGCCATTTCTTGGCGGCAATGTTCTTCACTAGTGTTTTAGTTTGAGAATCTCTAGGAATTCTCACAGTCACGTTTCCCAACTGATTAAGATACAAGATTTTTACGCCATCGCTCAGAAAATTTTCCACGTTTAGTTTACAAAGCATCTCGTTTTCCTGTTCCAAAGAAGCAGATGAGGTGTTCTTTATGTTTTCGCCTGCAAAGGCGAGAGACTTTCTTGACTTCTCAGGAGAAACTTCCCTGAAAGGAGTCTTCCCTACCAGGGAATTAATACGTACCAATTTGGATTTCCTCCATGATGGACTAGCCTTCTCCGGCGTGTCTAGAGTTCTTTTGCTTGTTTTAACTGGGGTAGATGTCGTTGCAGTTGCAGTTTCGAATCTTATGGCCACATGGGTTGCAGATAGGATCGGAATATTTCGAAGATTCTTGTGTCAGTGGTAATCCAACTTGACGGCAAATTTCGCTCAAAACAACACCAAAGCACTCTTTCCATTTCGAGGGTTTGAAAAGGTTCTTGGATGAAGAGTGACTTTGCTTACGGAGATTGCTGAACTGTACTTTGAAAGAAACTTCTCAAAGCCTACAATAATTGTTATTCATGCTCTCCTCTGACATTACGGAAAATGTTGCTGTATGACAGCTCGACTCCACGTGTTTGTGTTTTTGTTTTTGTCGGAAGACAAGACTTCCGGTATCAAGAAAACCCCATTTTGATTGGTTACCCACTTATTTCCGGAAACACAGTGAAGCGCAACTAATCAGGAGGTGTTTCGCATTTTAACGGGCTTTTTGGGCAGGTGTCTTCTCATATTTCCCCTCCCCCATCCCCCACCGTCTAAGATGGCGGTCTAACATGGCAGTCGCAAGGTTGTAACGCTAACTCGCCCCAATGAGACGCCTGCACTGCAGGCTACAAGGATGCATGTCTGTCAACCTATTATTTGGAGTATGGCCGTCATGTTGCACGACTCCATCGTCATCGCCATCGTGCGCGTCATGCGTACGCGCCCACGAGCAATACCACTAGTCAAGATAACCATGAGAAAATCAACTCATGGGTTTCCTTTTCTTTCCTATATAGCCGGAGCTCCGCTATAAATATATTTCAACCTGCAACCTGCAACCTGCAAAACATACCTGCTGATATTTTTGGTGTTTTGAAGTTGAGAGGTCTGACTTCATGCATAGTCGATGAGCATAAAACAAAAGATGTACAGGGTCAAGGACCTTCCGACATAAATCTTAGCTTGTTTGTTTGCTTTTCTGATGTTTGCCGGGCTTCTTAACCATTTCCCTCTATTAACTGTGTTCAAATGTAAGCTAAGTTTTATTATTTTGTACAAACCTCTTGAGCTCTTTTCCTTCAGCGGAGTGAATATAGTCCCGTTTTTCCTCTTTCACCTTAACATCGTCACTGTTAAGAGCATTTCGTGTAGAACTGTACCTGCTAGAGGCCTTCTTTGAAAAAGAAAATGACACTCCAGTCTTCCGTTCGTCCGCCATTTCCCAAACCTACTTATATGTCATGTAAGCAATAAGAAAGCCATTCTCGTCCCCATAGCCCTTTTCGCTTCTCTTAGCCGGCGGTGCCTTGGCACGAGAACTGGAATCTGGTTAGTCCCAATCCGCTACCGTTTGCACATGGTTCAACGAAATTACTTATTGCATCGGAATCCACAAAGCCGGGTTTATGGGGTTTATGAACTACAGTTATGTCATATTGCAGAGAAGAAGGTAAGATAGTAATTCGTTAGTCCCTATCTAAGATTTCTAGTAACTAATTTTTCGAATCGTAGGTAAAGACAAACTAATGTTCGTCACCGAAGAAGACCATGCGACCCCCAGTTCTGTGACACTCGAAGAAGATGACGAAGAGGAATTAGAAGGATTGATCAAAGCAAATGGCGAAATAAACTGGGATTGCCCTTGTTTACAGGGAATGGCTTACGGGCCTTGTGGAGAACAGTTCAAGGCGGCATTCTCATGTTTTCATTACAGTGAGGCGGACCCTAAGGGTTCCGACTGCATTCCACAATTCCGTGATATGCAAGAGTGTTTTGTGAAGTACCCTGAAATTTATGGAAAAGATGATGAACTTGATGAAGAAGAAGATTCCATTAACATGGAAACAGAAAATGTAAAGGCCGGTGATGGAGAAGAGAACATTGTTTCGTCAGAAAAGAACGACTATTCGTCAAGTGACTCGACAGAATCCACGGAATCAACCCATGAACTTTCCAATGAAGCCTCAAGCTGACCGAACGCGCCTTTAATTTCCTTCTGTAATTTAGCTGTTTTCTCTTTTAATTTTGTCCTAGGGAGTTGAAATTGTTATAACAGTGTTTGAAGTGTGATTTTTCAAACATGGTGCTTGATACATGCATGTACTCTTACGTATGGTTGTATTCACTTATTTTTTAAATATTGCTATTTTATTTATAACCACCTTCCCCCCCCCCCCCCCCCCCCC